TTTTGTCTCTCTTCTTCCTCTGCAATTTTCTGTGCATCTAGTTCAATAAGATCCTCGTTACTGAGCTCTTATGCTACACTTTCAACCAACTGTCCAACATCTTCAGTATCAATTTCTAACTCCAGCTGTTTACCTAACTCCACTATCTTGTTACTAATATCCAAAATAACTTCATTTTCATTAAATCCTTTGAAACTGTGCACATATCTTTTCAGGATTTTCTTCCATATTCCATTCATGCAATGTTTTGTAACCTGATCCTATGCTGTACTAATGTTCTTTATACATGACAAAATGTTGTACTCCTTCCAAAACTGTCTGAGCGAAGGTCGTGCATAAATAATACGCTTTAAAGGCAGCAATAGCACCTTGATCCATGGGTTGGATGATAGAGGTAGTGTTAGGTGGAATGTACGCTACCTTAACATCAGGGTGCATGTCGTCCAGGTTTGGTGGGTGTCCCGGAGCATTATCCAAAATCAATAAAATCTTGAATGGAATCTGTTGTTGCAGACAATACTCCTTGGCTCGTGGAATGAAACAAGTCATGAACCAATCCTCAAACAGTACTAGGGTCATCCAGGCTTTCTTGTTACTGCAATAAAACACTGGCAGTGTGTGCTTGCTGACATGTTTAAAAGCCCTGGGGTTCTCTGAATGATAGATCATGAAGGGCTTTAGCTTGAAACCAGCAACATTCCCCCCCAACAGAAGTGTAATTCTGTCCTTGAATGCCTTAAATCCGGGCATTGTTTTCGCCTCTTTGTGGATGTATGTCCGCTCAGGCATGCGCTTCCACAATAATCCAGTCTCATCCACATTGAATATTTGCTCAGGCAAATAATTCCCTTCCACAATCACATCATCTAACTCCTCCTTAAAAGCTTCGGCAGCACCAACATCGGCACTAGCTGCCTCTCCACTCACCTTAACATTGTGTAGACTGTAGCGATTTTTAAATCTATCAAACCACCCATGACTTCCTGTAAAGGTTGGATCGTGAATAGGACCTTGTCTTCTCTTTGATATTATAGTTCCCTTTATAGGTGTTGTTCCTTTCACTACTTCACAAATACGTTCCTTGTCCTTCAGAATAGTGGATATAGTCGAGTGTGAGAAACCTAGGTCGCGTGAGATTGTTGCTACTGTTTTTCCATTCTCATACTGTGTTATTATCTTCATTTTCATCTCAAAAGTAATTGCCTGTCTCCTTTTCTTTGGAACACCACCAGCACTCTCACTTTTACGCTTTCCAGTCATTATAAAGTCAATTAAATACGATAATAACGAAAGTTCACAGCGCGATCAGAATAGGATACGATAGCCAAACACGAACAAAGCGCTCCACTGAGTGAGTGTACCCACGAGGCGACCCGAGACGCCCCACCCTCTGGCCCGGGACAGAAACGTTTCGGTATAGAAAATGCGAGCGTCATTTGAAAATATTTTTGGTCACAACGGTCGCAGTCATATGTCCCGACGGACGTACGGTCAAAGCAGGTCATAAGTACCAATGGACGTAAGTCAAATGTAGTCATAAGTCGGGGTCTAGCTGTATAACGTTTTTAGAGTCGTCAGTCTTTGTTAGGCTTCCACAGCGTTCGTGCGTGTTTTTCCTCTTAGTACTGTACTCTAACAATTCAAAATGGCTTCCAAGTGCCCATCAAGTACTACTGATGCTAGTGTTGTGAAGAAGCAACACAAAACCATTAGCCTTGCTATGAAAATGAAGGTTTTAAACCGAGAGGAGGAGCCACCCGTCTTGTCTCAGTGACTCGCCACTCTCTCCTCCTCTCCCACCACACACTCGCTCTACCACCTCAGCCATTAGTGAGTACAATACAAAATGATATATATATATATATATATATATATATATATATATATATATATATATATATATATATATATATATATATATATATATATATATATATATATATATATACATATACAGCTAGACCCCGACTTACGACGGGGTTAGGGACCCAAATCCAGGTCGTAAGTCCGAATGGTCGTAAGTCCGACATAGATAAAAAATATTTTTTTTTAAATAAAAAATCTACAATGAAATACAGTACAGTAAAAGTAATAAATAATGAGGAATGGATACAGTACAGTGAAAGTAATAAATAATGAGGAATGGATACAGTGTGACTGAGCACTTACCTTTAATGTAGTCAGCTGAATGCACATGGGGCCCCCATAATTTTCTAATTATACATGGAGACTACATTAACTGGAAACGTTTCGGTATAGAAAATGCGTGCGTCATTTGAAAAAAATTGAAAAAAAAAATGGTCACAACTGCGGCGGTCGTAAGTCGAAGCAGTCGTAAGTCGGGGTCTGTATATATATATATATATATATATATATATATATATATATATATATATATATATATATATATATATATATATATATATATATATATATATATATATATATATATATATATATATATATATTGTTACGCCGTCTCTTAATTTGCTTAAATATCCAGGTTCTAGGCGTAACCAAACAAAAAAAGTGAAGTAAATTAAAAGGGAATAAAAATAAATAAAGTAAACCTTTAAGAATTTCATTAATTAAATATTAACACAATAAAGAGCCTCGTAGGCTGTCACAACAAATTGATTCACCATCGAAACTTTTAAGACACAAATGATACTAAACATCGAAACATCAAAAGAATAAAAATAAAGCATTGGATTACGTTAACACTGCATAAACATATAAAAACTAACACTGAAATTAACTAACGTGAAACAACACTGAATTACTTAAATGTAACTAAGCAAATACTGATGGACATAAATAGAGACATAAATAGGTACTCACATAGATATACCACATTGGTGGCGACAGGAACAACACAAATAAATTAAGTATAAGTAACAGGTGAAGAGTGTCACTCAAAGGATGTGAACTGTATGACAAGAGGAGTGAACTACCTTCCGTCAGTTGGTGGACTACTATATATATGGCCTTTTCCCGCCTGTGCGACCTTCCCCCGTGTCGTTTAACGATGCAGATGGTCGTTAGAGAACAAAGAATGCTTGTTACAATACTAAATGAAGAAATAAGATGGGCTTGAACAAATAATAACAGTTAAAACCTTAACAGCACAGGGTAAGGTGACTAGATTATATAATAGTAAATATAACACATCATGACAGGAATAATATGGAGCAACATGGAAGCATGTTATATATATATAAAAAATAGAAAAATACGACATGGTCGTAACAATATATATATAATCAACGACCTCACCAGCCAGGACTCGAACCCTTGACCTAATGCATGGGACCAGGGAACGCTACCGACCATACCAAAAGAGCACTAAAAGCAGTTCTAGACTATGTGATATTTCACACAAAGCCTGTTCATCGAGCTGATGACGCCGTGAACCTCTCATTGGGAACTGCCCATGCTGCTTATGTGGATGTCAGTGGCATTTTACCGGCTCGATGAACAGGCTTTGTGTGAAATATCACATAGTCTAGAACTGCTTTTAGTGCTCTTGTGGTATGGTCGGTAGCATACCCTGGTCCCATGCATTTGGTGAAGGGTTCGAGTCCTGGCTGGTGAGGTCGTTGATTATATGTTCAAAGTCCGTGTGTTATATGGACTAAAAATGAAATATATATATATATATATATATATATATATATATATATATATATATATATATATATATATATATATATATATATATATATATATATATATATATATATATATATATGTGTGTGTGTATTAGCCCACCCGGGCATAGATCACTGACCCACATTGGGGCCTGGGGGTCTAAAATATAATAAAAATTATAATAATAATAATAATTCATAGGTCTAGGTCGTGTTTCTCACTTTTGATCTTTTTTTCATTCTTGTATTTCTTTACTGTATTATTATTTTATTATTACAGTATTATTGTTATTATTATTAATTTTATTATTATATTTTATTATTATTATTATTTTTATCATTGTAATCGTTATTATTTTATTTTGGTGTATAATTATTAAAAATTTTATTTACTATGAATAATTATTATTATAATTATTATTACTATTACATTTTTGCCCCCCAGGCCCCGATGTGGGTTTTTAGAGCTTTTCAGTTTTCGGATAAAGGGTTGTCAACCTGTAATAATAATAAAATATAATAATAAAATTAATAATAATAATAATAATAATAATAATAATAATAAAACTGTAATAATAAAATAATTATAATAATAATACAGTAAAGAAATACAAGAATGAAAAAAAGATCGAAAGTGAGAAACACGACCTAGACCTATGAATTATTATTATTATTATTAATATAATTTTTATTATATTTTCGCCCCCCAGGCCCCAATATGGGTGATCTATCTATGCCCGGGTGGCTAATACACATTTAAAAAAAAAAAAAAATTCACCTCTGGTCCCAAATTTGTCAACCTATATATATATATATATATATATATATATATATATATATATATATATATATATATATATATATATATATATATATATATATATATATATATATATATATATATATATATATATATATATATATATATATATATATATATATATATATATATATATATATATATATATATATATATATATGCACACAGTATACTATTTTCTATAAAAATGTCATTGAATTTCTGAATTTGTAATGTATGTATTTCATGAGGCAAAGGGAGGCTCGGGAACATAACTCCCGTATTTTATCTTATGGGGAAAATTTATTCCGTTAACGTTGCGGTTTTCAGGAACGGAACCACGACGTTAAACGAGGACTTACTGTACTACCACAGTGTACTTGTATGAACTAAGACTATTTTTTTTTAAGTACAGTACTATTCTAAAATTTTTAATTAGCCTCAGTCTCATAGGTTTCTAAGGGTCTCAGTTTCAGAAGGCAGGTCTGTCTCAGACTTACAGTAATGCTATTGCTCTGATTACAGGATTTCCATAAAAAAAAAAAATAATAATAAATACCATTTATATTTGTTTAATTTTTTTAGAGCTTAAAAAAATAAACACTCACAAGAACATGTCATGAGTTACAAGCAATATTCTATGTCATACAAAATACTGTACAAATATTTGTTTGACAGTGAAAACATACTAAACAATTGAAGATTTGTTGGACAATATGCTGTTGAAATAACAGCAAAGTATTCCTACACCTAGTTCAACAGTACAGTTTTGGAAATTATGATAAAATATATATACTGTACACTTAAGGAGCAAAGGTAAATGAAACAAACCCAGTTCCAATGAAGCATTACTCTATCCCTCCAGTATAAGCAATATCAATGAATATACAGGGTATTCATAAAAATGACTATACCCCAAAGAGACAGAGATAAAGAATATACTGTACCATTATATCATGTAAATTTAATGCTACTGGTACAGTATAAGACTCAATCTTTTCCATAATATACAGTATGTTCAAGTGAAAATAAATAGCATTCAAGATCAATTTAAATATAAACTTACACATTACAGGCTTATCATAGTACTGTATTACATATTGTCCCTAACGGAATGGGTACAATCAGGAACTTAAGAAATGAGAAGACATAAAGTCCTGTAGAGCCCTGAGACAAGCGTAGTGTTCTGTGTAACCTCCAGCATTGGCCTGAGGAGAGGCTCTCCGGACATGGTTTAAATAACCACCCTCTTCAAGTTCATCCCATGCAGGAGCAGGCAGGGAAGATGCAAGTTTCGGGGACTCATACTGGTACACCTCTTCCTGTGAGAGAAGAAAAAAAAGGGGAGGGGGAAGTAAATTTCAACATACAGTATCCCTCAAAAGAAATACTGGATCCAGCATAAGAGTAGGAAGGCAAAACAGTGGGTGAATATCTTAGAAAATTAAGATTTATAAAGCTATCACTAATTCATTCCATGTGAGAAAGGCATGAGTTTTAGGGCTCATAATGATACAGTCCATTTGGGGGAAGAAATGGACAATCATTTTCAGAAATGTCACTTTATGGCTTGTGAGACTGCTTGAGTAGCCTTGTGAGATTCAACCAATAAATGCAAGTAAGAGCCCATTAATGTTTAATAGAACACAAAAGTGTTGATATAGCAAGTCCCTGCTCTAACAAGTGATGTGTTCTGATAGCTGTTGCAATATAACTGACTGTAATGCTAATCGACTTTAAACTTAACATCTATATGTACAGCTCAAGTTTAAAAATAAGTACGGTACTTAGTTTATGCAATACAGGGTACTTAAAAGGACGTTTATTATGATGCACAAAAATACTAATATACAGTAAATTTTAAAGGTTAAAACAACTTCAAGAGTGTAATGATGTTATTGCCCCTGAGGACATATTCCTGACCTTGACATTCTCCCTAGCAAAAATGCTCTACATCACATTCCTCCACCAACTTCTCCACAGGCCACCACATACTGTACTATGGAGACAAAGTCAAGCATAATTCACTTTTGCACACTTTGATGTACTTACTGCCACACTAGCACTTGACTCGTTAACACAAAAATGCTTGCAGATTTTACCTACCTAATTTACCTAATGGCCACGATTGTTCTTGATAGTCTTGTCCAGGGGCATTTTAAAGCCCAGTACTGTTCTCACTTCCACAGCTTGTACTGGTAGACTTTATTGTACTTCTCAACACAGTAGATGGTAAACACTGTACTTCCTTTCCACTTTGGCAGGCCATTGACAAATATTTCATCATCCAAAAAACTCCTGTTAGCATTCTGATGACGAAAATATTGTCGCTGATGTCAAAAACTAGCCAATAATCTAATTATCACTTTATTTTCATGGTTCAAGTCTTAAAATGCATGCCATTATCTTCCCATTTTCACCATACAACTGTGGTGAATGTGAAGTGTTGGGATAACCTCCCTGTGGGCCTGCAAGCTTCAGTGTCCCAAGGATTTACAGTGCACAGATGATACACGCTCCTTCGAAATATTCACTTGTATTTTCATATGTTGGTGTTAGATTCAACTTCGTTGTACAATAGTATTGTTGAGTAATCGTTTGTGCAGAAATACACATTTAAAAATATGAAATGATCGAAAATAATGGTGGTGGCAGTATGTGCCCAGTGGGGCTCTGAAAGTGTTAAATTTGCCCTGTATGACACCTTGAAGTTGTGTCCTCCTGTGTTGGTGGTGCGTGACATCATGAAAAATTTATCTGGGTTTACATCTTCCAACCCTTTCAAGATTTTTAATATCTCTATGAGATTCATCCTATCATATCTGTCTGAAGAGTTGTCAGTCTTAAATCCCTCAGTCTACTTGAATAATCAAGATCATTTTGTTCAGGAATAATCTTAGTCTCTCTGTGTTGTACCTTTTCTAGGGATGTTATGTCTTTCTGGAGATAAGGTCTCCATGCCTGCATACAGTAGTCCAGATGGGAATGTATGAGAGACTTCCAAAGTTGAAGGAGCCGTTTCTTATCTTTGTATTTGGATGTATAACTTATTATTCCAAAATTTGGGATGGCTTTTCTTCACTGCTGTTCCCACTTGTTGCACCGCTTTCAATGAATGGTCTATCACGATGTCTAGATCTTTTTCCTTATCAAAAGTATCCAAGAAAGTGATATTCACATAATAGTTGTGATTAGGGTAATGTTCAACGTCCAGAGTACAGTATTATATTTTGCTATGTTAAAAAGAATCTGTATAGCTTGTGCTATACAGTAGTTTCACCATTTGCAAGATGATCAGCCAATTCTACTTTCTGTTCAAGTGACATTACTTCCCTTGCCCTCTTTGGAGTAGCACTGCTCACATTACTAGATTTGTGCTTTGAGGTTATACTTTAGAAGAAGAAAAAAAAAATGTAAATACAGGCAGTCCTCAATTTATGAAAGTTTGGTTTACAAAAATTTTCAGAAAAAAAAATTTTGTCCCATGATTTGATTTGTGAATGAAAAAATTGAAGTTACAAAAAAAAAAAAAATTGTAATTTTTTCCTAAGTACGGTACAGCATAATGAAAATATGCTGAAATAATTTTTGTTTTGCCAGCAATATCCTTACTTATTTCACTCACTTAATTCATTATTCTCTTACACTTACAATGTTATTAAGTCTACAAAAAAAGCTTTCAATGTGTCATCATTCTCCTACAATCACTATATAACTGACTCCTCAAACTCACTGGGGACAAGTAGACTCATCTCTACCTACACAGTCACTAAGCCAGTTGCCTGATTGTTCCCTTTCTCCTTATTAAAATTCTCATGTAATATGTGGAAAATTAAATAAAAGAAACTGTACACTCAAACCTCGCTAATTCAACTTCCTCGGGGGTCTACTCCATTCAAATTACCCATATAATACAGATTGGCTGATATCTTTTAATTTGTCTGGAATTGTAACAGTTGTCCAAATTAGTGAGATTTAAGTTTGAACACAAGATGCGTGGATTTTTCAATTCCACCAAAACATTTTATGGGCCAATCACTCATGGCACAGCCCCATTTCCTCATCCAACAGTAACTACCTAACTAAAGACAAAGAAGGCAGCCTTCAGTGCTGGAAAGAGCACTACCAGCATCCAGAGCTGACCCACCTCAGCTACCCTCCATCCTTGGATGAGGTTGCTACTGCCATCAAACAGATGAAGAATAACAAAACCTCAGGACTGCTGGAATCCCAGCTGAGGGGTACAAAGCAGGAGGACCTCTGCTTACCAGCTGTCTCCACTCTCTTCTGGAGGGAGTGGCTACATGCACACACACATGTACAGTACGGGTAAAAAAAATAATTGTCCTAAGGGCAAACACATAAAGGGAATATACATTTCTTTGCACACGAGTAAAAATACCCCCCCCCCACCCCCCAGTCAGCAAATGATATTCGCAGTTTTCCAGAAAATGCACCCCTCGGAAATATTTTCCAAATCCCAAAGATATTACTGTGTAGCGCATTCCTTTCCAAGTGGTTTAGCATCAGCCTTGAAAATCCAACGTTGCCACGATCTCTGAATAGGCCGGGAGACATATCACACTCTGCATTTATTTTACACCACTTTATTTTGTTATTTCCACCTTTTTTTTTTAATGAGGCTCATGATTATATAATACTGGATAGGTAGGTGAATAGAAAATGGAAATAATTTTTTTTTATTTACTTATATGTGTGGCAATTCTAAATGGAATGTGAATATCAGAGATATGCCTCTGCTGCACAACAACCATGCCATGGTGAGTTTCAGACATCACTTACATAAAATAACTTATATTTACATAATTTTACACTTATTTTACTAATTATCGTACTCAAATATGTAGATATTATTTACTGAGGCAATGTTTAAGAGTTGGCACTTGACATATGCTATCGGTAAGGCGCAAATTTATATGGTACAGTTTTACCACATACATATATACAGGTACACCACCGATTTTCCAGGAACTGATGGTCCGGCACCTCCTTTAGTCCGAACAGAAATTACGAGAGGGCAGTTAACTTCCCTCCCTCCCACCAACCCAGCCAGGGTGAAGGTAGTTTTAGGCTTAAAGTTTTTATCTTATAAAATGGCACAGACCAAACTTAGCAGAATATAACTAGCATTGCTGGAATCCTTGTGAGATAGTGATTAATTTGAGTGGAAATAACTCATAGTTTGTACAAGAGATAAGAACTTTAGTACTTTAGTGTAGAACACATGAGTACAAAGTGTGTACAGTAATGTGTTGCTCAAAATTATGGCTTTTCAAATTTAATTTACATTTAACATTTATTTAATTTAAGCTTCTCGCAGTCCATGGTGCTTTAGAGACATGGGAGGTGTATTGTTGAATTATAATTACCTGACCTCGGTTGGTCTGGCAAAATGGATAATCCGGCAAGGGTTTGGAGCCAAGGGTGCCGGAAAATCGGTGGTGTAGCTGTACAGTCTCTCCTCCACTTACGACAGGGTTCCAGACCGACGACCAGGTCGTAATTAAAAAATGCGAAAATAGTAGGCTCTCATATTTTGACACCTATTTAGACAGTAAAAACCTCGCAAAATTGAAATAGTCCAAATTTAAATACAACTTCCTATGGAGAAAATTAATTTGAGCCTGGTACTTTCGATGTTTGGCTAAATTTTGCCTTATTTACCCTACTTTTTTGGCGAATTACTACCTGTAATAAAGCAATATCCTAATAAAACAACAAAAATAACACAGATAAAGTTAAATAAAAGCTAAAAACAACACAGAAAAAGTTCTTATGTTCTACAGCTTCAGCTAGAGTTGAATCTGATGACTTGGAAACTTCGTCATCCGAGTAAAAACACACACAGCAACATTGGCTGTCCTAATGTTTTCAACTTTACCGCCACTGGTGAGTAGAATTTTTTTTTAAATTCAGAAACATTAATTAAAACATATATGAGCAGTAAATAAGTGTTGCTTTCATATTCTTATGTAGAGTAATGACTAGAGCCCGGATGTTTAGGCAAAATGCCATAAAATGCCTTTTTTGCCTTTTTTAGGGAATTGCGAGTGATAATGCCTATTCTACTAAATAATAGCCTATTGTGTTTTTTTGCACACATTTCCACAAAGTAACTCCAAACACGAAATTAAAGTTTCGGAACACCATAAAACTTAGCAAACCACACCCATAAAACTTGGCAACACCGCTTTTGTCGGCACGAGACGTATATGAGTCGACGCACTGCCTCAGTACAGTACTAGGCTAACAGCAGACATGACTGCTGAGGGCAGTGCTCTAAAAAAGTAAAAATGCCCAA